AACACCCCCACCCCGGCGCATCAACCCAACCACCACGATGCTCTGCAACTGTAGGCGTCAGCCGACTGATTGCACTACGAGTCGGCAAACACTCTAATGTCCAACTGCCGTGCCGGTCTAGCGAATGTAGCTGCCAAGAATGCCATTTTCGCCTTGCGGAGAAAGTGCCCGGCGTCACCAATGCCACACGACACTGCGTATTGTTCTAGAGGACCAAAAAAATCTGCCAGCTCCGCGAACGACGGCGGCGCCTTCTTCCCACCACCCCCCGCACTCTCAGAATCTTTGGCGCTGTCTAGCTCGTCGTCGTCGTCAGAAATGTTTTCGTCCTCCTTGAAAGTGTTGTTAACCTTTTCCATGAAAATCTCCTTTGCGTCTTCAGACAGAGTTTCAGCAAACTCGGGTTGCTCCTCCAACCCGGCCCATGCCTCCACGGCCTTGATGGCCGTGGGGTGAGCAGGCGCGCCCGGGGCGATGTTAAGATTCGCCAGAACCTCTACCAACTCTGAGTCCTGCACGCCCGGCCCGGACGCCGCGTCGCGGACGCCGATGCTGAGCGCGTTGAGCGTTTCCGTGAGCTCTGCCACCCCAGCGTCCTTGGCCCCGTTCACCACCCCCTTCCCCGCGTCGTTCGCAAGCTGCGCCTGGTGTTCTGCTGGAAGAGTCTCAGCTTTCACCCAGCACCTGTGAGGTATAAACGTCCGGGGGGAGGGGTAGGAGGGGAGGGTGCGAAGGGGGCGCGTCAAAATGATAATCTACTTCTTTTTGGGAGGGGGGCGCGTAGTACTACAAACTAGAGCGCAGGACTGAGCAACTCGGCAAAAAAACAGGGGTACATGCATACCTCACAAAAATCAACGAAATCAATCACCTCGCGATGGTGGTGGGCGTGACCTTGTCCCACGCCCCTTCCAGAAGCTCGGCCGCGTCCAAGAGGTGGGCCGGGTGCCCTTCCGCCAACCCCATCGTACCGGCAGCCATCTTGCGGTCCTTAGCTTGCTGACGAAGAGCGTCGACCGAAGACATGGTTGACACGCGGATGTCCAGTAGACCCTTCCGGTAGTAGCGCTTGGTGGTCTCGATGACACCCATGTCCATTGGCTGGTACTTGTAGGTGCAGTTGGGCGGGTACGTGCTCACCTCGATCTGGCCTCGAGGATCAACCAGATCGCCGTGCGACGCGCACCCGTCCATGAGAAGCAGCACCGGCTCGTGAGTCCACTTCCGGATGAATGGGATGAAAACCTCCAGCCACCACTTCTTGAAGGTTGCGCTGTCCGACCATGCATTCGCCTGAGAGAAGTAGGTGAGCGGACTCGGCGAGGACCGAAAGCAGCGCGGGTTCTTCGCCCTCCCGATGATCGCCATGGGAACCTTCGCCGTCCCGGTGGCGTTGGTGCACATGTAGGCCGACACACGGTCTTTGGCCTTCATCCCCTTCGTGCCCCTCGCCGTCTTCCGCTTCTCCGTTGTTGACAGGTACGTGCGCTTCGGCAGCAGTCTGTAGTACATGCCAGTCTCGTCCACGTTGAAGATGTTCTCCACCTTGTACTTCGAGCACGCCCGCCGGATCGCCGCCATGCCTTCGGCGGCGGCCTCGGCATCGAGGCTACCGGCCTCGCCGTGCAGCACAAAACTCGTCAAGTTGTGGCGATTCACCAAATTGCGCACCCACTTCTCGCTGGCGCCAAACATCCGCAGCCTCTCTTTGGCGTCCGCTGGAGTTGACGGCGCCGCCACCAGCTTGTCCCTGACGGCGATCCCGAACGACTCGATCGTGGCACGCGTGATAGGCAGCGGCACTCTCCGCGCTTCCTCTATCAAGGCCAGGACGTCTTTCTCCAACTGAAGAAAATTACGAGAATAATTGGGGACAGAAAACGGAGCACATGAGTCGCGCAGCAGTAGAGACACAGCCCGACATGTAACTACTGCTTACGAAATGCCGTGTCCGGTGAAGAGAACACTCGACGGTACATACTGTACGCATCATTCGAAGCAAGGATTGTTAGCCTCCAAAATAAATCGTCACGGGTCGCAGTATATAATTTCGTACGTGTCAAACACGTTTCGCGGGTTAAAGAACTACATATATACGACGACAGTCGCAGGAGGAACAAGACCCTCAAGACACAAAACAAAACAAGACACAGCTGTGTTGGTAGAAAAAGGAGTCCTGCCTCGGGGAGCGTTATTTATTTGATTTCCGTTCATGAAAAAAGTTTTCAACAAATTTCCAACTACACTGCTGTATATATGTAGAAGCGTACAAGTTTGTACAAATGCGCATCAATTATGCCAACCCCAAACGTGTTGCACGCTCGCTGCACAGACCAACACCAAAAAAAAATTACGCTCCTCGAACACAGATCTAATTTCAATTTTCCCTCCCAAAAACACATAACAACGACACACATACACAGCACACCTCGCGCGCAATTTTATGTACACATACAGTAGTACTGTAATAAAATTGATCAATATAAAAAACAGAGTGAACGCACCTCCGGAAAATCTC